GAATGCTCTCCTAATTTATCAATATCATTTCTCAAACGTTTGTTTCACTATTCTCCCATGCGTCATCGAACCTCTACTTCAGCTAATCAAGTGGCTCGTAGGAGTTTGGGTTTAAGCAAAACCCCATCTGATTTTCATAAATCTCTCTAAATCTGTTAATGACTCTTTGACGCCGCCGAACCTGATCCACAACAAACATCTCAATCACTTAATCATTTTGTCTGAAGCATAAAGGAATGATGAGTCAACTTGGCCTGTAAACGTATCCATGCCGCCCAAAGCTGACTAATCAGTCGAGCTTCAACTGATTCTACAAGTTCGAAAAGTGATTGCCAATGTCGAGTCCCAAGCCATTCCTCAAATGAGTTTCTAAACCTCGCTTGTATTCCTTAGGAGGCGGCAATTTTTTTTTTTTTTTGATACAAGCCAAGAAAAAATTTTACATTGAGCCATAATACACGAACCAAAGCACTATTTATGTACATGAGCAGAGGTGTGCACAAGGAGAAAGAGGGAAAGGGCAAGAAGAAAAGAAAGACAGAGAAAGACAAATCGTCCAGATTGAGTGTACGACTCCTGCCTGTATGAATGAGTCGAAGTTGTTGAGATATGGGTCTGAGACGGAGTTACAGTACAGAGACAACGTTACATTACTAGCATATACCTATACGTGTAACTACTTCACTTCTCCACCTCCGACCGGTCCATCCCGTCTTCATCCATCTTAGACGGGAACCTCCCAACGGACCGGGTACGAGAGTGAGGAGAAGCGAGAGGAGAGAGACTTACCTGTCTGCTCTTACAGAAGTGACGGCTCCTGGGGAAAGAGTTTATCCAAGAGAGTCGTGTATGTTATGGTGTAAACCATACTATGGGGTTAGTGAGAGCCGTGCCAACCGAGGTGGAGATTCCGGTGGTAGCGATGTATCCTTGACACATAGGTATGACCATAGACACCCAGTGCAGATACTGGTTAGGTAGCCTAGCGGTTAAGGCAGCCCATACGAGTTGGGTCCAAGTACACACGCAGTACTTGGTCGCTGGTTCGAATCCGGCTCTGACCATCCTCTTTTACTATTACAGTGTATACGACTCCTGCTGTACATGCAGAGTCGGAGTCGCTAACCGCGACTCGAGTCAGTCGGGCCTCCCTGATAGGTACACTCTTGAACAATTTTCCTTAAGAAAGGAGCATTAGGACCTCTTGAGAAAAGATAGGAATTTTTCCAACTTGCAGTCGGTGAGAACCTGTCACAACGTACTCAACGCCTACCTAATCCGGGTCAACGCTAGCTAGCAATCCGGACAAGGTTGCACTCAATCACAGGCCTTATGTACATACAGTATGTGGTTGCGAGGGGAGCAAGGCTCGCGAAATCCGTATCATACTCTATAGCTCTTCGCTCAACATTTACTTTTCTCCTTACAAGAATAAAAAAGAAATCAACATTTTGTGAATTTAATGAAGTTTAATAAAACTTGAGAATTGCCTTTCCAACCATTTGTTTCATGGAAGATTTATAACCAAAGAGCACAGTTATGATAGATGAATGCTGATCAATGATACAAAAATTAGAATATATCTAAAAGAAATTTCTTTTTGACCCTATCAAGATGTATAGCAAATTATTTTCCGGATAAAAAGTAGGTAGCAACGTTTTAGCTGAACTTTTTCAACCTCTCCCAGTTGAGGGCTATTTACATAGATTAATTATCAACCAAAGTCTAATTTTGACTGGACAACTACAAAGGCTTTTGCTTCATGCTCATTCAAATCCTATTCAAGGTTACAAGGAAAAAAAAAAAAAAAAAAAAAAAACAACATGATCAAGTTTAGTAATCAATCTTTGTTAAACATAAACGAAAGTGACTGACGGTGTCTTGATCACAGCAATAAGCAGTAGTTTTTCCAAGGCTTTTACAATTATTCATTCAGTGACCCTTAATATCTCTGAAGTGTGTAGCGCCAATGGCTTGAATGGTGCAAAGGTTTTTTTTTTGTTTTGAGGAGAGCGTAAAGAAAGAAAAAAAAAACTGTCACTAGAACATCCAAAGAAGTTACTGTAGGAGACTGATCAAAATTGGAAATGTTCATGACTTCCTTACCATTTGCTTCAAATAAAAACTATGTGCGGTAATGAATTTGGTCGTCAGAACTAGGCCGGTATTCATGTCCTTGACCCTTGCCTCTCTGAAGCTGAATTGGCTCCAAGACCTCCATTGCTCCAGTACGACCTTCATCTAATCCGGCTCTACATGCACTCTAACTATACACCCTTGACTACACCTCCAATGGGGATTGGGTCTGCATCTCACTTGACGGTCGACCTTGATCACTCCTAGGAGGACTTTCATGCGACGGCTATAGACCATCAACTGACTCACACCAAGACTGCGCAAGAGAGTGAGCTAACAAGGAAGTTGATTGGCGATGAAGGAGCTAATATTTACACAAGATAATTTGGCAGATTATGAATCGAAATTTATATATACATCTAAAGGCTTCCAATGGATCAAAGTTATTCAAGGCCGAATCGCTCCCTATCCTTGTTCAAGAGATAGATTGCCACTCTCGAAAGACCCCATATGTAACCTGTCTACTGCACCCCGCGTGCTCGGCTCAAGGTCGACTGGCTTTTGGGACCGCTGATAGTCGCAACCTGGCAAGACACTTATTTTATTTTATTTTATTATTCAACATTATACATCGCACAATCCAACTTAGCCCAGATAAGATGAATTCTTTAACGCAAAAAAACAATGAAGACAAAAGAGCTGATTCCGGCTTGAATTCAAGCGGCAGGTCTGACCATCTGTTCATCTTTTCCGGCCCTGTAAGGGATGTCAGTCAGTTTTTTAACAGAACTCAGAATGATTCAACGGAGAAACAACCGACAAGAATTTCTCCATAAAAGTATTAGGAAGTGGTGGTGACTGTAAGTCGGATAATAAGAGGGAAATGGATCATTAGTCATCCGTACAGAAGCAGCAAGTCATTTGAAATAAAAGGTCAACAGACCTGCTCAGCTTCAAAGTATCTCATCACTTGACTTGGCATTTTCCAAACGTTCACAAATTCTTGGTATTCCATGTGCGATTTCGAGATCAGTACATCAATCGTCTGAACGTCCCTCACATGAGAATGCTTATTGAAGATCTGTCGGATCTTAGCCCTCAGAGCCGGATAAGGTATGTCGAGCGCATAGAGCTAGATTCGAAGAAGAGTTTGGGTTGGCCAAATGGACGTGTGAGTGACAACAATAGTGAATCGTTCGAGAGATCGGTTAAAGGGTCTGATGGGTAGCGTTCATGACGACTCGGTTCTCACCTGACAGATTTCTGGAGCTGCGCGGTACCAATCGCGATAGAGGCTCCTAGAACGAGCCTGAGCGATTGAAAGATTGGGTGAACTGAGCGGCGGGCGGTGACGAAACAGAGGGAGGATGAGCGGTGAAGAACGAGCGCGGTCGAATGGTTAATGTATGAAGTGCGGGGAAATGAGCGCGGGTGGGGCACTTCTTACGAGAGCGTGCGACGGGCTAGTCTTGATGGGATGGTGGGACTGATGGCCAGTGGCATGTCGTCAATGTGGTAACTTGAAAGTGGTTTGATTGAGGTCGGATTGAGGGGATGTGTGAGGCGGAGATGCCGGAGTGAAGTGAAAGTGGGGTCGGGTCACAGGGCCACCATCGCTCTGTTAGCGTATGCACGACTGTAATTATAGTATGTATAATTACAATATGTAGCAGCCCTTCAGCCTGATCACATGTTCATGCTGCGGTGACCAACAGGGCTTGTGCAAATACAATAAACTGCTGCGTAAAATAGTTGGAGCTGTAGGTCTGGAACCCTTTAAAAAGCCAATGCCCTTCTTCGCTCGACTTCGTCCTTCCCATTCACTATCACTACTCCAACGCGTCTCGTAATCTATTTAAACCACCACTTTTATCTCTTCGTCTCAACTTGCTCTTCTTTTCAACTACCTGCCTATTCTCTTCCTCCTAACATCATGCGCAAGACTACTCTCTTCGTTGCTGGCTTTGGCCAAATGCGTGCCAAAGACCTTGCCTACGAATTTGAACGGTAAGCCCTCGTTTCCTTTCCATACCTCATCTTTGGTCAACTTGGTCTCTCTCTTATCATCTTCTCTTTCTCCTTCATCTGTTAGCTATGGACGTCTCGTCAGGTGCGACATTCCTGCCGCCAAGAGTGCGACTGCCAAATCGTTAGTGTTCTTCCTTTCATCTGCTCTACCGACCTTTTTCAATTTGCTTCTTTGGCTTCAGTCCTCTATCTACGACCATCTATTTGTAAAATGGTGTCTCTGTCTCTCTGCTTGCCTAACGGTCGAGATTCCCATGGTGTCGTACTTGGATGATGCTACATTAGCCCGTCCGTTTCTATGTGGCTACTCAATTGTTGATCGCTCCAGCATCAACCTCTCGAGCTCTGCTCGTCAGATGGGTCCATGCCTTCATTGCTCTGTCTGTGTCAATTCTTCTATCGCGTCCGTGGTCCGCTCATCTTCTTTTCTCAGTTGCCCGCGTGAGTGGTCTCGAGCGAGTCCCGGTCTGCGATCGGCTGCTTCGAGCGTCTAGGCCCATTTCGCCCTACCACGAGCCTTCATACCTACCTAATCCATTCAATCGATGGGTCCTCTATCCACCTTGTCCTGTTTCATCTATCTTTTCCACATCCCTTTTGGACCTTCCTTCAGGCCGCGTCCGAGAGCCTTGAGTCATTCTGCTCAGCTCCTATCAATCCTCCGAGTCGATCGATCGATCCGACCCAATTCCATCGAAGCGTGCATTGCGTCCTCGAGAACGCATCAGCCATTCCTCCATCTCCGCATGAGCTGCCCCCAAGTCCCAAGACCGTGTTTCATCTCACGCTTGCGCGCACGTTCGCTTTCGCCCTCCTCTCGAACGATCCTCCTACCTTTCGACCCATCCCGTCTCCAATAAGAAGTGATTCGAGAAGAAATCCCAACGCTTACGAACCCCGTCTCTTTCTCTCCATCCCATTATCCCTTATGTATTGTCAACGGTCGATCCTGCTCTTTGGCTTCGTGGCGTCTGGTGTACGCACCTTTTTTTTTTCATCACCTCAACGTCTCCCCTCTTCCCGTGTTGGTTTCGGTCCCCTGCAGCTATGCGTTTGTTGAGTTTGAAGACGATCGTGATGCTTCGGACGCGTATTATGAAATGCATGGTCGACGTCTCGATGGGGACACCTTGAATGTCCAAGTAAGCGCCATTCTCCGCCCTGCACTCCAAACCTTGTCTCCGAGCTGACTTTACTTGCCCGTGTTTCACAGTGGGCTAAAAATGCCCCATCGTCTTCGTGGCGCTACGAGCGTCGAGACCGGTCGCCTGTTCACTCTCGTCGGTCTTACAGGTCGCCTTCGCCCTACCATGGGCGTAGCAGCCGGCGCTCGCCTAGCCCTTACCAAAGCCGTTTATCGCGTCGTAGCCGTAGCCCGCTCCCTCCCAGACGAAGCCCCACCCCGGTGGAGAAGCTCGATGACCGGGACCGGGCTGAACGTGTGAAAGATGTGGAAAAGGATCGTGAGGATTATCATCAATCGAGTCGCGCTCATGATGATGTACCAGACAAGCGTGCGGTCAGCCGATCGCCCATTAGAGATTAGATTACGCCTATCTCCCTTATCCTACATCCTTGTCACCATCTAAAGAAGAGTGAAAAAGAAAGCTATGTAAAAATTGAAGAAGTGCGATTGTCATCACAAGAAAGAAAGTAAATCTATCAAGTTGATTTTGAATTTTTTGTGTCCTGGCTCCTTCGTGTTTGATTTTTTAATTCCAACGGCATCTTTGCGTCATCCGTTGATAGCTTTTGTCTGCCAAATTTGTTTTTCTCCTTCTGCCCCACCTTTACCGCCCTTTTCCATCTCCTCCGAACATTTTTCATCTTATCCTAGACGCCTTTAACACCTGAGCCTATCTCATCTTAAATGTTGCTACGCAGAAGTTTTGCTTTGGGAGTCCCAGTGATTTTGCCGATCAATTACTGCTCATGAAGAATAGCAATGTTTGTGTGTGCT